TTAACCGCACAGCAAGCTGCAGCATTTGTCTTATATTTGCATGAAAAATCCTCCAGTGGGCACCAAGGAGAAGCCAAGCAGACAGCTAGAGGCTAGACACTGAGCAGCTACCCAACTGTGACAGTCACTCAAAGCAGCCATGCCCTCAATTATTAATAACTTTAAGCCTTGATAAAATTTAAATGGGAAAGTTATATCCTGTGTCCTGTATTGGGTGGGAGATGTTCTCTAACAGGGATGATATAGCTTAACCCTGAAGCACACCTGAAGACTGGAGGAGGTACGACTGTGTGTTTCAGCTCTCTGGAGTGAAGGAGGACACCGTCACCAAACTGGACAAAGCAGAGATCAGGAACAATGAAGGTAAGAGTGAGATCAGCAGCTGCTGAATGTGACGTCATGTCTGTGGTTTGTTCGGTGTTTTAGCTTTAGTTCTCAAGTTCAAATCATAACAATAAACCCAGTGTTTTCCAAGTGTGGTGGCTCACCAGGCCTAAGTAGCTGAGTGAAGGGCAGCTTGACAAGCCCCCTGGTCTGTAGCTAGTTATAGCTAGTCACCCGTCAAAGGATTATCAACAATGCTAAAATGTCTAAATAGATTCTACTCCCCTCTTAGCTTGACAAACCTCAGCCTTCGTCAAGCGGAAACGGCCATGCCAATAGATACAACGGCTGGTGGTCAAGCTAGCTTCCAGAGACTGTAGCTTGCTGCCTCCACAAGAGGGCAGTAAATTAGAAGATACAAGCTCAGAGGCATCAAAGCCTTTCTGGGACAGAACGCTGTTCTGAGATGAAGGAGAGATATCGCTTCCACTCCACATATGCTTTTAATAACAGTAAACCCAGTGTTTTCAAAGTGTGGTGGCTAACCAGCCCCCCCCCCCGTCTGTCTGTGAGTTGATGTTTTTATCCTGATTGTAAAATTGAAACGAGCATCAGTTCCCTGCACCGCACAATCATGATGATATGACTGTACTATGATGATGTGGGAGAGAAGTGTCTTGAGTGTTTTCACAGGTAGTACATACTGTGGTCAACACAAACAGTCAGAGACACACAGTTCATGAAATATACACTCCATATCATGTTTGCACAGGAAAAGAAATAAATGATTTAAGCTTTTCAAAATGTTGTGTAGATGAACTTTTTCAAGACCATTTTCTACATTTGCTGTTTATAAAAGTTCAGTGCTGGTTGAGTGACTTTACAGTGTGTTTCTGATCTTACAGCTCCTGACAACATCTCTGAGCTCTCTGAGAAACTGAATCCAGAAACCTGAAAAACACTCAATCAGTGGAAAAGTCAACACTTTGACATGTGTCACATTATACAGCTGAAAGAGTGTAAATGTTGTTTTCCTGTAGCAAAAGTTAAATAGCTTTATATGAAGATTTGTGAGATTAGGAGAGAAAAATAAACTAGCTTGAGGTAAATGTCAAATATAATAGTTTAGTAATATTTTTATCTGATTTTTTTCATTACTATTTTATTTTATCGTTCATCTTGCATCGATGGTACTTCATGGTTTTACAACAACTCCATGAACCACATATTTCTGTAAAGACAGACACTGAAGACAGTGTATTTTATCTTGTGTCTCTTTGTGTTATTGAAACCATGTTGATCTACAGGATCTATCAATATCAGATATGTTGTTCGTCCTTTTGTTGCCGATGTTTCACTTTTCAATAAAGTCTCCAGTTTTCAAAACTTCACTTTTTATTAAGTCCACATGTTCATCTGTGACTGCAGTTACAGTGATACGGATATTAGTTGAGCAGTCAATACTCACAGAGGAGTTCAGTGCGATCCTCTGTTACCTGTTCCTACCTGCTTCCTCAGCTTGTCTGCTGCTAAAGTCCAAAACACATGTAACACAGAGAAAATGAAACATTGGTGATGATGCAGTTCATCACCTGAAGAGCTTACTATAATAATGATGGTAAACTTTTTTTTAGAGAGCACTTTTAAAGTCAGTTAATACACAGTGATGACAATATGTCTGCAGCACAGCAGCAGTTATTTTCCTGACTGATGACTTTTTTAATATTCTCTTTATAATCCTAGACCCGTGGATTATAAAGCTCTGGCTCATTTGTACCTCACTAATTTTCTCCTTGTGCTCTGAGAGCTGCACAGATGAAGACGTTCGATAGTCAAGGTGACACATACAAAAGATGTTTTAGTTAATTGTACTTCTCTGGGTTTAATCTCCACCTCTCATTGTCTCACTGTTTTCCTTGAAAAAAAAAAACCTGCTTGACCTGTTTCTATTTTTAACAACAGGCTCAAAGTCAAGAATGTTGAGTATGAGGATCAAACTTTGTCTCTTCTCTTGGTTGTGATCATCACACACTGACCCTTGATGATCACTGGAGCATCACTGGATTGTGATGTAGCCAGGATGAGGGTCAGCTTCTCCTTTACACATCTTCTCACTCAGTCCTCACTTTAACAACACTTAGCATGAACGCTGAAAGTAGGGAGGAAGCAGCAGCAGGGAGTTTTTACAACCAGCATCAGGTGCACAAGTTCATCAAAGCTACTGTTCACAGTTAACTACTGTATGACCATTTGTTTAACAGCATTATTGAATTTACTGACTTGCCACAAAGCTGGATGGTTTTTTAGTACAGATGAATTGGGAGATACGACTCGGCTTGAGATGCAGATTTCAGTTTTGTTATGTTACATCTATTCTATCTTTTCTACTCTATTATTGGTCTGTTGATGTAATATGTTTTTTATTATAGAGTATGGTCTATGAATGGTCTGAATCATTTTGATTTGTTATTCTACAGAACTAAAGAACTGCATAGTTTTGTTCATCTGTGGAGTTAAATGTGCCTTCTAACAACGAAGCACTGTTACTTAATAATATGCAGTCAGTCAGACAACTAAATCAACTAAATCAAAAATCTAATCAAAAGATTTTAAACTTCATAAACTGTGCTATGTTTCATATCCAGGTAAGAAAACCTTTTAAATACTTTAAGCTCTTGGCTGCAACAGAAGCTCCTGTGTAGAGCAGGATGACTGCGTCCACTTAGACCGACAGAGCATTTTAGTAAAAACATGAAATTTCTTACTGATATGTTCAGTATCAACATATTTGTCAATTGCCAATCAAATAAATTAATAATATATTCTTATTACGTTTATAGAACATGTGATCAAGCATGTCTCCTCCAAAATGTATTTGCTTTTTCAAGTTAATTGTAACAAAATCATATTGTGAACAGAGGAGGAGAGTCATTTGTTAGTTTGAGTGGTATTATATTCTGACAATTACAACAGTGACAACTGAAATTATTTCTCTTTTTTTAAAACTTGTTTTTGATTGTATCGTATCTCACATGTTAACCAGCTAGTCCCGCTCTGGCCAGCCCGGCTTGTCACTTTCTGGGAGTGAATCACTGTAGCGTCCAGTTTGCCCTGAAGGAGGAGCTGCTCAGAGGGTGTATTATAAACTCTTGCATTGTAAAATGTCTGGTATAAGTAAACAACAGTTAATGCTAACATTAGCTATGTAGCGATAGCAAAACTTATGAATGGCTCCTTTTATCACTTAGAAGCAGGTGTGTTAAAAACTGACTGTCCCCCTGTGAAAAACGAGCCCAGAGGTAATTTGTGCCGCAGGTTATTACCTATAGTTACATTCTGTTGCTAGGCGACATCTAGTGGCTGATCATGATCACTTCCTGACCCTAACCAAGTATTTGCAGTGCCCACTCCTAACCAAGCCACAACCGTTGTTACAGCAGAAATGGCGAAGATCGGTAGCCGCTCTCGGTACACTCGCAGTTTATTATGATAACCATGGCAACCAAGGCCCGGTACGCGCTCTGCCATAGGGCTGCTGATTTCAGGAGACTCTCCTATGGGTCGTATCAGAGGGTTGAAAAAAACGACCTATGGTTGTTTAGGTTGGAGAACTTTTTAAAGTGTTTGCAATGGTGACATCTCCTGGACAAACCACAGTATTGCATATGTATGAAAGGATTAAAAGGAGAATTTACCTTGGCAAATTCCTGCCATGGTTTTTGACAGTTGTCCGTCTGTCTTATCTTTCAGTTATGTTGCCTGTTGTGTGAAAGTTTCTTTTGGCTCGATCTCAGTTTCTCTCAACTTTCTTTGGAACATAAAAAAACCTGCTCAACCTGAAACTGCTTCTAGTTTTAATGATCTCTCTTCTTTTCCTCAGTAGATTAGAAATGGAAAGTGTTGAAAGATTAGAAAGTGTGGCCAGTTATTGTCGTCTTTTTTTAAACCTTTTCTGCTTAAGGTTTTACTTCAGTTCTGTTTATTTTAACTTTCTTGTTCAACTTTACTCTGACCTTCTTTCTGAACCACCACAACTGCTTCTATAGTGTTTTAGAGCCAACTGTGTACATCCTGATTAAAAGGCGGGATGTTGTGTGTTGTCCTCACAGGAACAGAGCACTCACTCTCACCCAGACACAGTCACACAGAATGCAGGATGGGAGATAGAGTACTGTATGTCCTGCTCACTAACAGACACACAGACAAACAAACGTATTCCTTCAACCACCCCCTCCAGTCTTCAGGTAACCTTTAATCTAATTTAATTTAAATTTAATCTTGACTCTCTAATTTCACCTCTAAGAGTATCACTTTATTGTGACTACAATCACAGATGAGTTATTTACAAAAACATCCAAACAGTTTTAATATCAGAAACTTTATTGAAAATTCATTGAATATTCATTAGTGTTTCTGAACAGAGGGAAAATACCTTGTGTTTAAATTCCTGTAGTTATTCTAAATATTTAGGCTATATAAAACGTTTGAAGAAATATAATATAAGAATAAAAGAGACATCTTACTTTCTCATAAAATGACATCAATGATTAATTGAATTTTGTCATTATGATGATTATAAAAAATATAGTATAAATCACATATGAATTGGGATAAAACATTCAGAATACAAGTATAATCTACTTGGCTGAGATTTCAACCAGTGTGTTTTTTTTAATTTTTTTTATCACAGATTAAAAGAAATTGAAATTGAAATTAGGATTTCAAATGTGATTTAAGCAAGTGACGCCAAAGGTTTCTGCAATAGACATAAGTCAGAAAATATACATATATTAGTGATTTTTGACAATAGTCAGAAAATAGTCACATAAAACAGTAAACTTTTTCCAAAAATTCAACTCCAACAGGGCTCATGAATTAAAACGTAAGCACCTGAGAATTTCTCTCTCCGTCTCTTAATAACCTCCCTTAACCTCATACAAAGCCGCCATTGTGTTTTTTGTCATACTACATGACGTCACCCTGTGCGTGCAGGACGGTGTGTTTGTCGATCAGGTTTCTGGATTCAGCTTCTCACTGAGTTCAGAGACGTTGTCAGGAGCTGTGAAAGTCAGAAAGATTTTGTCAGTCCACTCATCGTCTACTAAACTACGGTAGTTCACTACACAGTGTTAAAACCCTTTTGCAGCTACAGTAAAGTGCATGTCTTCAGAGACAGGAGAATAAAAACAAGCTCTACTTACGAGGTGCAGGGAGTTTGGCTGAAAGAAGAAAAGAAGAATAATTTCAGTTGTCAGAACTTTTTTTCTGAATTTTATTCCCTCTTGTGTATGAAAAAATTCCCTTCTCCTTTTTCTTTCTGCCTTTCTTTATGTTGTATATTATTACAGTGTAGTTTCATCAGTTTCTTGATATTTGTCACTTGCTGCCTCAGATTTTTGTGCACTGTCACATTTTGCTTCCACTCAGCTGCTTCGAGTCTCACCTTTCTTCTTTTTGTAAACAGTAAATCCAATAACAGAAATGAGGATTACAAGAACAGCCACTGCAACAACGATGGGGAGGGTCTTTTCACTGGGCGTCTCTGTTCAGCAAAACACAAAGAAACAAAACATCATCACATAACGAGCAGATGAAGCAGGTCAGAACAGAGATACAATCCAGGTGTTAACTATCGTCACCACATATGAGCTTTGTGAGGGGTGGTGAATCCAGTATTATCTAGTAGCTTTTGACATGTGTGTTTAGAGATACTCTAAATGGCACCACAAAGTAGATTCACTAAAATCATGTTTTTTATCTTCTTTTTAATCTGTCATCTTTAAAAGACATAAATGTAGTTAAAACCAAAGAACTCGTCTTATTGAGCAACATAAGCCTCTTGTGATAAACCTCGACCTTTAATCACTGGATCCTCTGTAGAAACTTGGAAAAACTTGGAGCTGAGACAGACGGCCATCTTAACTTGACAGGGAATACTGACTACATGGTTAAAAAATAAAAGATGAGATGAAAGAGTGAAATGATTTAATTATAAACTGTGTAAATGATGTATAAGAATCCAGGGGAAAGTATTTTATACTTCAATATGGTCATGTGTAATGAAAATATGAACGTTAGAAATAAAGTGTAATTGAACGGAAGAGTAAATAGTGAAATGATGAGGAAGCCCCACATGCAACCAAGTGAGAAATATGAATTAAATATGAAGACTACAGCTTTGCAGACGGTAACTGATTCTTGTCACTGTTTGCACATTGAGCTTTTCCCCTCAGTGAGGCGCTTTACACAATAAGGGGCCAGCAAAAATGTGCAAGTCTTTCTTGCCTAAAGCAACTGGACAGCTGAATACATGGTTGTTTGAATTCTCCCATTTCATATTTATTGTGATTTTTATTGTATTTATGTACAAACCATGTTGTTTGTTGTTGTGTCCCTGTTGTTGTCCTTTGTTCTCAGTTGTCCCGTATTGTTTTTAACACTTTATGGTGAAGCCAAACAAAGACAGAAAAAAAAGACGAAGAAAAGAAAATAGACAAAGGAAAATGAAATGTTTCTCACCTTCATCCTTTCTAATCCCAATATTTCCCCAGTTGGTCCTGATCTCTGCTTTGTCCAGTTTGGTGACGATGTCATCCTTCACTCCAGAGAGCTGAAACACCCAGTCGTACCTCCTCCAGTCTTCAGGTGTGACTGATGAAATGTCCAGGTCAACGCTCATCTGGAAGGTTTCATCAGGGTTGAGGAGGATCTCTCCTTGGTCCACGCCCTCATGAAGATCCTCTCCATCTTTCCTCCAGAACATCACAGCTCTGTGAGGGAAGAAACCTGTAGCGTGGCAGCTGACTGGAGAGGAGGGAGTCTTCTGGAGGAGAGACACTGAGGGAAGCTCTGGAGAATAAAAAAACATTATCATTATCAAGGTATGTCATACATTTTAAAAAATACTAAAATAATCATTAACAACTGATACATCTTTAAACTTTGAGAACAGTGAACATATCCTGTGCATCAGTTCAAGTGCACATGATGCAGTTTACCTCCACCACCAGGGGGAGCCAAAGTCTCACTCATGATGATAATACAGGGGTTAACTGAATTGTTGGCTAGATGCTGTACTATATTAATGCTATACTTAATATTACTCAGTAACAACAATAAAAAATATTCCATTATGAAAAAACCCTGCATCCTCTGTAGTGGGACAAATTTGGGCCGGTCTTAAGATGATTAATGGAGAGAGAAGAAGAAAAAATACCTGTGACTTAAAGCTGTTTTGTTTTTGTTTAATTATATTTTATTTTATTTAACCGTTTACATTCAAATGGGGAAATTTCTTGGTTGTTTTTAACAATGCTTTGTATTTCATGAACTTATATATATATATATATATATATATATATATATATATTTTTTTTTTAAAAGTAATCCAAAAACATTTAGTTACTCAATCTGGTGACACAGTCATATACACTGTAAAGAGACATTTCAGGTCACGTGACTCTACCTGGTCTATCCAGAAAACCACTTGCATAGATCAAATACTTCTTCAGCCAGACAGGATAAACGTTGATGACGATGTTCTTCCAATACTGATTATTAGCTGTATTTCCATCCCACTCCTGTTTAGCGGTGTCAGCCTGGGGGTTTGCAGCGATCCACGTCTCTGTCTCCAGGTCAAATGTGAGGAAGTCTTCCCCATTATAACCATATTGATTATAACCTATAACCTTTTCAGTCTCATCATCCCAATCACAGCCCAACATCTGCTGGATGATGTGAACACCTGAGAGACAGAGACAGAGAGAGAGAGTAAACCAGAGTGAGTTCAGCTGCACTCAGCTGCAGTTTATGGAAGAGGATCAGCGCCACATGTGAAAGTCCAACTCTGACTTTTTTCCTCAGAGTTGTGTCCCTAATCCTCTTCCATAGCAGTTGATGTGACATCATTACTGAAGAGACGAACTGTCATTGTCTCCTGATCAGACTGATTTACCATTTCACTACAACTCTGACGCAATGTCACCCTGACATCATTTTTAGACGAGGCATCAAGTTTAGAGAGCAGCAGTTAGGGTCAAGACAAGGTGTTGTATATTCCAGTATCACAAATCACAAATTTCCCTCAAGGGGTTTTACAGTCTGCACAGTATTGGAGTAGAATCTGGTTCTGACCACAAATGTTAAATGTTAAAAGCAACTAATTTCCTATCATATAGGGGAAAGCTGTCACAGCCTGCTCTGCCTTCACCTGCGGCTTCAGTAATTGTCCACCCACCCCGCCTCTGTCTCACTCTCACCGGCCGGCCACACCTTCCTCATCAGCTCCACCTTGGGCTCCCAGCTGCATCTCATCACTCATTAAGCCAGTATTTATGCATCCCTGGTTCATTTGGTCATTGTACCCATGCAAGACTGTCCAGCGTTCGTCTCTGGACGGACTCCCTGGTATCGACTCCGCTTGTCCCTGACCATCCTGCCTCGTCTCTGCCCCGGTAAACGCCTCAGCCTTCTCTCCCCGCCGCGAGTTCTGCCTGTTTCTCTCGCTGGTTCCCGTCTGCCTGTCCCTGTGGCTGTTTGGCGTTCTCCAGCTCCGACGTCGCAGCGGTCGTCTTGTGAGTACTTCCCTGCTGGTTTCCTGATCTTTCTCCTGACTCCGATCACCCGCCTGCCTGTTCCTTCCTGGTTCGTCTGCCCCGCTGACTTCTCACCTGGTTCCGATCCTCCTGCACCCTCGACTATGTCTCCAGCCTGCTCCCTAATGGTACCGCCGCTTCCCGACGAACTTCCCCCAGTGTGTGCGAGTTTAGCCACCTTGGCACACGCACCTGGCTCCCGACTCTCCGGCCCCGGCCCCCGGGTCCACCCCAAACCCCAAGAGCCTATTGTCCTGTGTAGTAACCTGAGTCATACTGCTGCTCACCTGCTTCCCCTCATTCCAGCAAATAAGTTATTACCAATCTTACCTGTGGTGTGTTGTGCGGCAATTGGGTCCTACCAACACCCGTTACAGTACAATCTGACCAGTCGTGGACCCAGCACACCCCACCTCCGCTTATCCTGTCTGCAATCAGCACAAGCCCTCGCATCAGCTCCCTTCAGTCTCCTGCAGTCTCTGATCAACCTTTCACGTCGGCCTCTGACTTTTAATTCTGAGTTGAACAGTCAACAAAACAGTCTCAGTGAAAAGAACTGCAGACATCTCAGCAAACCTTTGGCTGCAAAGACTCCACAGCTGTCAGTTACATCAAAGTAAAATCCAGTAGTCACACTGATGCAGTTTTACAGGAGCTTTACATTGTTTGCTTGTGTTATGTTGTGGCAAAAAGTCATCTCAAGTATTTTTAGTATTTCAGCATGTACCTCATGTATTCTTTGGAAAGCATTAGTGAACTGAGAATAGTTAATTACTATGATTAGTAATTGAGCTGATGTCAGCGTGACTGGGACAAGAGTCCTGGGAGAAGATTGTGAAACTGAGTTACTGGAATATGTGGTGTTACAAATACATAACACAACAAAATAGCATCAGATTTAGGCTGTTTATCCTTTGTGACTACAAGGTGAGCAGTAGGGATCCTTCCTCCCTCCTGTCGCCAAGTGTTTGCTAATGTCTATAATAAATTATGGTCTTGGCGCTTTACAAATAAAACTGAATGTTTGAATACTCCAGGTCAGAATGAGGGGTGTTTCTCCATATCACTTTTTTTTAACTAATGAGGTGATTGTTGCATGAATGCACCAACCAGCAGCAGAAAAGCAAACAGTGCATAGTAATGTTCATCTACTCATCCGTGTGTTGTAACGCTGTTGTCATACACAGGTTTCTGCAGCAGAGTCATTACTGACCAACTCAGCAGAGTAATTCTGTTCTAATCAAGTGGAAAAAGAAACATCTTGTCAGAAACATACCTCCAGTTTGGTTTGAGTGCTGCTTGAAACTGTCTGTTTGCACTCTGAGGAGCTGCTCGTAATTTATGCCGTCCTCAGAAAACCCTTCCCAGTCTTGTGGATCATTCTCTATTAATTTTCTCACCCAGGTGTGTCTGGGTTCTGGTGTTTTCATGTTGCTGTCATAGTACGCCATCTCAACTTCCTCAAAGTTTGCTGCAGCCATATAATCAGGGATGTTTGGATTTCCAGAAGATATCATGACTTGAAACTTCAACGAGTGTTTGACTGTAAGAAAAAGAGGATTTAATGGATTTGAGTTGTTCTATTTTATTCAAACATTATTTAATTGTTGGACTAATTGTCACTTCCCTGAACACAAAGTGAAAATTACAATCTCTCAGCATGTTTTTAAACTGGTCATAAAAACCATTATTTGATAAAGGTGGGCAACAATTATAGAACAACTTGTATAACAGTTGTTTTTATGTGTGTGTGTGTGTGTGTATTGATCTGACCTGTAAACGCTTCATGGCAGAAGAGCAGCAGTATCATGAGCTTCTCCATCTTGTTCACACAGACACAGCTGAAGTCAGGTGGTTTTACTTTGTTTATTTCAAAGATGTTTCCTGGTTGTGTTAAATTCTGTGAATTCTTAAGGTGTGTTCACCTGAGTGACTCCCTGCAGGTGAACGAGGGCTTCACTCTGACTATCCTCTGTTTCCTGTTCCTTCCTGCTTCACTGAAACTCTGTGTCTCAGCTTGTCTGCTGCTAAAGTCCAAAACACATGGAACACAGAAAGTGACACATTGGACATGACGCACTTCAACTGCAGAGCTTATAATATTAAGCTTTTTTTGAAAAAAAAAGGAATCACTTATTAAAATCAGTAAACACACAATGTTTTACAAAGACAATAATGTCTGCAGCACAGCAGCAGTCGTTTTCCTGACAGTGATTTTCTAATGTTCTGGTCTGGCTCATTTGTACCTCACTAATTTTCTCCTTGTGCTCTGAGAGCTGCACAGATGAAGACGTTCGATAGTCAAGGTGACACATACAAAAGATGTTTTAGTTAATTTACTTCTCTGGGTTTAATTTTAATCTCCACCTCAGTCTCACTGTTTTCCTGAAAAAAAAAAAAATCTAGTTTGACCTGTTTCTATTTTTGATTCACATCAACAGGCTGAAAGTGAAGAATGTTGAGCATGAGGATCAAACTCTGAACATGAAGCTTTGTCACTTCTCTTGTTCGTGACGCTCACGGACAGGATGTCAAGCTGCTGTAGAGTCCAGTTTGGAGACATGTCTGCTTCTGTCTTCATCACACACTGACCCCTGATGTTCACTGGAGCATTTTTCCAGCTGAGAGTGACGCAGCCAGGATGAACTTTAAAGATCTTCTCCTTGTTCCTGAGATAAACTCACTCATTCATTCAATGGGCCATTAATACACAAGTCACAACATGTATGGCTCTCTCTTCCTCTATAATTACGATGTGAATACCGAGTAAATGAAAGTAAAGGATGTATTAACTGCGTCACACACCTGAAGTTCAATGAGCATTTTTCCAGCTGAGACTTAGCTTAGGTGGGAAGCAGAAAGCAGCAGAGATAGAAAGTTAGTAACAGACTCCATCTGATCAAATAAAAGGTATTTAAAGAGATTTCATTTGTTATTTTTTCCAGTAGAGACAAAAACAGGTCACACCAAGAGAGAAAAACCAAATAAACCCACACCTCTTTCAGTGTTTATCAAGACAAGATAATTCCACAGTCAGGAAGTTTTTACAACCAGCACTGTAAGCCACTACTTTATCTTCCACTTGCACAACATTACATAGAGGTGTTCACTGTGTCTGTTGCTGTTATCATTTCCTACATCTTGGTTATTTACAGTTTACAGCCACAACGGAAAAATAAACAGCTGAAGATTAGAAAATGTTCAGGCAGCGAGTTTCACTTCAGAATCAGACATTACAGATGTTGCTGCCCTCTAGTGGAGAGTTAATGAAACACACCCTCAAATCTACTTTGTGTTGAATGCCTTTCCTCTTTATTAGCACATAGCACATAGAAGTCAAACTCATTTGACAAGAAAAACAAACACACAAACAAATCATGAAAACACTTTCTATACAGGACTAGACTAGTGAAGCTTTTCTTTTCTGGCTATGCACAGTACACTGTATATGGTCAAACAAGTCAGTGCTAATGTTTAGCACCATAATGTTCACCATGTTCACCATCTTACTTTATGTGTTAGCATGCTAATTAGCAGTAAACACTGAGCACCAGTGAGGCTGCAGCAGGTGACATTTGTTTTGTGTTTGATCATAAACCTAATTAAAGTTTTGACCTGATGGTGACATTGTATGTATTCATATTTCTCTATAATATTTCTTCATTTTTGTTGTAAATATTTGATCTTGTTGTTACATTTTTCTGTTTATATTTAAGATATCTGACCTGCAGTGACAGAACCAAGTTTCTATAAAGGGAAGCCTGCGACTTTCTGTGAAAACAACAAATACAATAACAATAAATAACTAAGTAAAATATATTTATTTGTGCCAATTAAATCCAAAAATGCAAAGAAAATACTAACTGGCTAATGAGACTTAATCTCTCTCTAAAGCGTTTAGATCTGCAGCTTCAGGGGCTCGTACTCCACACAGGAAGCGCCTTGTTTTAAATAACTATTAATTATTAAATATCAAATATTTAAACTTATACACTGTATGAAAGTAATTTAAAAAAAAAAAACAAAGTTTTCTTAATAGTTATTGCATACCATTAAATTCATAAGTTTTGATGTTAGTGAACAGAGAGTGCTGTGAGCTTGTGTAAGTGACATCAGGTATCAGATATAAGAACATAAAGTCCTATTATTGCACATTCTAACCACATGTAGATGTCCTTGTTTGGTATTTTATGATTTTCCTGTAAACTGTCTTCCTGTAGAGGGTATCTATTGATGTGTGGGCAGATCATATCAGTGTGTGTGTGTGTGTGTGTGTGTGTGGTGTGTTGTGTGTGTGTGTGTGTGTGTGTGTGTTGTGTGTATACATACACCTGAAGTTCATCACCAGATCAGCTCCACTAAGACATGATGAAGACTTTATTTCTGTTGC